CAAGATAGAGGTGCCTGGAAAACTACTGTGGAATTGAACTTCCATTCTATTATGACTTTCACCAATTTCACTGCCTCTACTGCATGAGGTATCCCAAGGAACTAGATCCTGCTCCTACAGACACTGCTATGCAGGATTTCTGGAAATACAATAATAAACTTGAGCCAGGCTCTATGGCAAACCATTGTAAACCCAGCAACTGGGGAGGTTGAGGCAGGAGGATCATAAGTTTGAGGGCAGCCTGGGCAACTTAGAGAARCCAGTCTCAAAGAAGCTAAAAAGGGATGGGGAAACCAGGATTGGTGGCACATGCCTGAAATCCCAGCAGCTAAGGAGACTTAGATGGGAGGATCGAGAGTTCAAAGCCAGGGCTGGGGATGTGGCTTAAGCCGTAGCGCGCTCAGCTCCCCTGGCATGCATGTGGCCCGGGTTCGATACTCAGCACCACATACCAACAAAGATGATGTGTTCACCGAGAACTAAAAAATAAATATTAAAAATTCTCTCTCTCTCTCCTCTCTCACTCTCTCTTTAAAAAAAAAAAAAAAAAAGAGTTCAAAGCCAGCCTCAGCAACTTGGGGGGAACTAAGCAACCCAGTGAGACCCTGTCTCTAAATAAAATACAAAATAGGGCTGGGGATGTGGCTCAGTGGTAAGTGCCCCTGGGTTTAACYTCCAATACCAAAAGAAAAAAGGTAGAAAAAAAAAGAGAGAGACTTGAGGTATATTTTTCTTCCCTTGCTGGAACTGGGAATCAAAACCAGAGTCTTCACACACTAGACAAATGCTTTATCACTGAGTTACATCCCCAGCCCAGCCAGACTTGAAAATTTTATTTTCCCCTCTATTTCTTTGTATTCCTTCATCCTTCTCAGTAAGTAATAATGATAAATTTCTCCTCTGGTGCAGYTCTTTTCCCCTACAGAATTAGCATACAGAATAGGACTTAGAATCAAGAATCTTAACCCTTAAATTGGAAAGACAATTGTTGTGTAATATCTGGGTCTGATTCTAAGGATGCGCCCTCCAGAGAATCTGCCTTCCTCTCTCTTTTTGAAATACTAAATAATGACCTTATTCAGAAGAAAAAAACTTGGACCAACAATAAATTTTCTTCGTAGGGTACTTTGATTTCTCCCACAGTAACTGCAAAGGAAGAGCAGACACTTGATGGCCTAATTTTTCCAGCTGGCTTTAAAGAAATCTCATCCCAAGGTGGGTGGAAGTGAGATTTTCTTATCTGGACACTGATCAGCAGGGGGCACTATTGCACCTCTCTGGGCCCCAGTGAAGAAGCTGAAGCCCTTGTCCTAGACAACCCAAAGGGGTGTTGAGAGCGCCACTGCATTCCTGAGGCTGGTGGACTTGAACAGATAATCTCCTCTTGATCCAGGGAAACAGATGGGCTGACTCCTGATAGCCTTTAGGAACATGATGGATAGGCAGCAAGGGGCCCAGTGCTATTGTTTTCCTGGTGACAAACAATATAATATATCAACAAGTTTATATGTCCAGGTCTGTTCCTTCTCCTCCCATCTCTCCCAATGCCTATTCCTAAAAAGGATGTTATGACTCTGTGTCCTAACCATTGTACTCCTCTTACCCGTTTCTCCCTAAACATCTTCTGATTTCATCTCAGATGAAGAGGGCCTTAGGCATGGTTGCACAACAGTATAAATGTATATGTAGTGTCACTGTGTACTTAAAAGATGGTTAAAGTGGCAAATTTTATRTATTTATATTCTGCCACAATTTTTAAAACAATATTAGACAATCTTGGAGAAGTACAAAAAATAAAGTTTGGATTGACCTTTGCCACATCCTTGYCTTTCTTTGTTCAAGCAGTCCTAGCAAATCCTAGACTTTCACAAAGGCTTCTCAGATAACCAGTTCTGCCTGTGTAAACATGCAGCTATTCACTTCCTCATCCCTCTCCTCCCTGTCCACCTACAACAAGGTAATATGTCCTGTTTACTTATTTATTAATCAGAAGAATAGAGCTTCCTTTGTATTGGACAAAGCACCCTTCCCACAAAGATGTATATATATTATGCTGCAGATGATGCTGACCCTTGCTCACTCTCTCTCTCTCTCTCTTTTTTTTTTTTTTTTTTTTTTTTGGTGCCAGGGATTGAACTCAGGGGCACTCAACCACTGAGTCACATCCCCAGTCCTAATTTTTTTTTTGGGGAGGGGGATTTTATTTAGAGATAGGGTCTCACTGAGTTGTGTAGCGCCTCAAAGTTGCTGAGGCTGGCTTTGAACTTGCATTCCTCCTGTCTCAGCCTCCTGAGCTGCTGAGATTACAGGCATGTGTCACCATGCCTGGCCCTTACTCTCTTTTTAAACCTTGCTACTCTTCCTTATTTGGTACTTTTCCAATTCCTATAAACAATAACTTGCTTTCCTTTTTTTTACTTTTTTTTTTTTTTTGGTATCAGGGATTGAACCCGGGGTGCTCAACCACTGAGCCACATCCCTAGCTGTTATTATTTTTTATTTTGAGACACTAAATTGCTTAGAGCCTCCCTAAGTTGCTGAGACTAGTTTTGAACTTGTGATTCTCCTGCCTCAGCCTTCTGAGCTGCTGGGATTACAGGTGTACACCAYCATGCCCRGTTGTATAAAACATTTTAAGACAAACTGGGTGTGCCAATGCACAACTGTAATCCCAGCTACTCTGGAGATTGAGGCAAGAGGATCTCAAGTTTGAGGCCAGCCTTGGCCACTTAGCAAGACACTATCTCAAAAAGAAAAAAAAAAAAGTTAAAGGATTGAGGATGTATCTCAGTGGTAAAGCACCCCTGTGTTCAATCGCAAGTATCAAAATAAATAAATAAAATAAATAAACAATTCAACAGACAGAATTCAGCCCCAAGAAATTCCTTTATCTTCCCGGTGATAGATTTATTATCTATAGCCTCCCTCACTTTCCCTCTTCCAAGATCTGATATTAGACTTCTTTTTCTTGCTTGTGGAACACACCTCCTCGAGCCTGCAAATATTTTAGCTTAAGGACCTCCCTGGGGAGTTGTTTTCTAGCATCTCACAAAACTATGCTAACCTGACATTGTGCTAGTTTGTGAAAACGTCTATCCTCTGGTCCATATACTGGAACCAGAGAGAYTCATCCATCCATACCTGGGACCTAAGCTTGGCAACTCCAACAAGCCGTCTATCACTCACCCTGGGGGTAACCTGTGGGGTTTTGTTTGCTTGCTTGTTTGTTTGCAGTTTTCCAAGAAGAGAGAATTCTCTTTTACAAAGAGCTGGACATGGTGGAACACACCTATAATCCCAGCAACTTCAGAGACTGAGGCCAGGTATAGCAATTTAATGAGACCAAAATAAATAAAAGGGCTGGGAATGTAGCTCAGTGGTAGAATGCCCCTGTACCACTAGGTTCAATCCCCAGTACCACAGGTGGTAGGGAGATAATTCCTGTGGGCTGGGTTTATAGCCCAGGTGGAAGGTTTTGGGTTCAATCCCTAGTTCCTCAAAAAAATATTTCTATGGTACTTTTCTTCCAAAAAATTTCCTATCTGGTCTATTATCTTTGCAGCAAACTTCAAAATTGAAGATGAAAGAAAATAGGTGGTGGGCTGGGGATGTGGCTCAAGCGGTAGCGCGCTCGCCTGGCATGCGTGCGGCCCGGGTTCGATCCTCAGCACCACATACCAACAAAGATGTTGTGTCCGCCGAGAACTAAAAAATAAATATTAAAAATTCT